CCAACAGCACGGCAGTGATGGAGGCAGGCCGCCGACCCAAGGGAGTCTGACTCTAACACCTGCTCTCTTCTCAGCCAAACTCTGTTTCTAGAGATCTACATGACAAGGGCCCCAGGACTAGACGCGGGACACCTGGTGGGGATGCTGCTGACCAGAGGTTCGAGTCTCAGCTCCACCCCGCCCACCACTTCTGGGGCTTTCGGTATTCTCACGTCTCTAAGCCTCCATGCTCTGGTCTGGCAAGTGAAGACATTAATTTCTGGGGGGAAATGTGAGGGTTGAAACTGCCCAGAGCGCCTGGCATCATGCAGGGTGTATAGGCAGCATGTGGAGTTGTCACCATCATGATTTGAGGTCCCCCCACCAGAAGGTTGAGCTCAGCCAGAAGCCATGGGCCCCAGCCCCCCAATCCCCACACCTCTGCTCATAGGCCTGGGCAGACTGCTCAATCGCCACGTTCATGGTCTTCTTCTGCATGAGGAGCCGCCGCTGCAGCTGCTGGTACACATGGTCATAGGCGGCCTTCTCATACCGCAGGTCCTCAATCTCCTTCCGGAGCTTGGCATTGGTCATCAACATCTTGTCAAAGTGCACAGTGACCTGTTGAGTGGACACAGGGGTCACTCTTGGGATGGCAGACAAGCTTCCAGAAGGCAGCTAAGGGTTTAGAAATCTTTTCTCACCTCCCATCCTAGGACCACAGAGCAAGAACTGGAACATCAGGGGAGAGGCTGAGTTGACCACCAACTGGCCAAGTGGCCTCTGGTGGGTCTTTATTCTGGATCTCACATTTCTCAACTTTTACTACAAACCTCAGGAACAAGGTGAGTGGCACCATGGGAAATGGAGATAACTGGCCAAAACCAAATGGCTGAATTTTCCACAGGATTAGCCTGGAGTGGTGGCACGTGTCTGGAATTCCAGTACTCAGCAAGCTGAGGCAGGAGAGGAGGATTGCCGTGTATTTGAGGCCAGCCTCACCTATCTGTTGAGACACTATCTCACAACAAAACAACTTTCTATAGGATGATTGGCCAGGACTCTTTGGGAAGTTGGTGGCAGGCAATATTTTGAGTGCAGCTATTTGGAGCCAGATTTCTCAGACTCAGCACTACCGGTGTTTTGGGCTACACAGCTTTGTGGTAGGTATGTTTCACAGGATGTTAAATGTGCATGAGATGTCACTCTCAGTCCCATATGCCAACTGAAAGTGTCTCTCCTAGGTGACAATGTCCCTTAGGAGCAAAAGCACTCTTCAACTAAAAGCAACTATTTTAGATTAAAGACACAATAACAATTATATGAACCTTGATTTGAGTCAACCTTTAAAGGCATTATGGGATGAACCAGAGAAATTTTAATATAGTACTATTGGGTAATATTAAGGAAATATTTCTCCAATCAAGTGTGAAACTGCTATTATGATTATGACAGAAAGCTGTTAATTTTAAGAGATGAAACTAAAGAAATTAGGGGTAAAATAACATAATGCCTGGAATTTACTTTAAAATATTTCAAGGTAAAAAAAAAAAAAAAAGATGAAGCAATTAAAGTAGAACGTTAGCAGTTACTAATTCAGACTTCTGGAAAGATGGTTGAGTGGTGAACAGCAGAGATTCCCCGAGGTTTGGTGTCCAGAGGCTGACGTGGAGTAACTGGAGGAAGGGAACAGAGACCAAAGTGGGTCCTGGGGACCCAGCAAGGCTGGGAAGGGAGCACTGAGGCCCACGAAGAGAGAGAGATCTCAGGGCAGAAGGAGGAGCTGTCAAGCCATCCTTTCTCCCTGAGCCTTGGACCCCCTGGGCGGTCAGGGACTACTGGTGACCCCAGAGGTCACCAGGGAGAAATACTCAGTGGAACAGACGCAGGGGACTGCAAGGACTGGTGAATTATTTGGGCTCAGATGTTCCCCAGGAGAGTGCGACTGGGCGGTAGCCATCCTGGAGAGAGGCCAACGCACAGCAGCTGTGCGCTGGCGCCATCTAGCGGCTCCCAGTGGCAGGGGCGGTGGGACCGAGTGGAGCAGGCCGAGGGTCAAGGAGTCTGAGTTCCAGCAGGCAGGAGGCACGAGGGAGGGTTGCAGGCTGAGCAAATCAGGTCCAGCTTCAGAGCTAGGGGCCACCCTGAACTGAAAGCGCAAGTGGACCTTTAGGTCCACAGGGCTGCTAGGACTCTCCACTAGTCTGCTGAGACTCTGCAGCTGGCTTCCTGGGACTAATCAACGCAGATCTGGATAAACCAATACACGCAATATACCATATTAACAGAGCCAGAGGCAAAAAGCACATGTTCATATCAATAGATGCACAAGAAGCAGTTGACAAAGCCCAACACTCATTCATGATGAAAGAGAAAAACCCTACGGAAAATTGGATTACATGGTCTTTATCTCAACCTGATAAAAGCCATCATGTGACAAGCCAGCAGTCAGTATCATGCTAAATGGACAAAAATTGAAAGATTTCACTTCAAAATCAAGAACAAGACGAGGATGTCCACTGTCACCACTCTTATTAAATATAATTCTGGAAACAGAGCAATTAGACAAGAGAAAGAAATGAAAGGAGTAAGGGTAGGGAAGGAAGAAGTTAAATTATGATCATTTGTGGATGACATATGTACAAGACCCCAAAAACTCCAACAAAAGGCTTCTAGATTTAATAACAAAATTTAGTAGTGTAGGTAGATACAAAGTCAACGCTCAAAAATTATTAGCCTTCCTGCACACAAATAACAAATTCACTGAGAGAGAAATTAGGGAAACAACCCTTTTCATAAAAGTATCTAAGGGGCCAGGGAGATAGCTCAGTGGCCTAAGAACCTGCCTGTCAAGGGCAAGGTCCTGAGTCTGATCCCTGGCCCCACATGCTGTGCTGGCCCAGAACCAGGCATGAGGGTGCTTGCCTGTAATCCCAGCACTTAGGAGTTTGAAACAGAAGGATCACTGTGAGTTCGAGACTGGCCTGGGGACTCAGTGGCATAAGCACCTGGCTGGCAAGTGTAAAGTTCTGAGTTCAATTGCAGACACACACACACACACACAAATAACACAATAGCATCTAATAAAATGAAGTAGCTAAGAATCAATCTTACAAAAGAAATAAAGGACCTTTACATTGAAAACTATAGCACTCTGATAAAGGAAATCAAAAGGATAACAGAAAGTGGAAAGAAATCACTTGTATTTGGGTAGAAAGAATCAGTATAGCCAGGTGTGGTGGTGTATACCTGTAATTCCAGCACTTGGGAGGCAGAGGCAGGAGGATCCTTGTGAGTTTGAGACTAGCCTGGGCTACAAAGTGAGTTTAAGGCCAGCCTAAACTGCATAGTGAAAACCTGCCTCAAAAAGACAAAGGGGGGGGGGCCTCACAATCCCTGATTTGAAATTACACCACAAAGCTACTGTGGAAAAAACAGTATGGTACTGTAAAAACAACAACAACAAACAGACCTGAGGACCAATGGAACAGATTAGGAGATACAGAAATAATTCCTTGGCCGTGACTCATCCACATGGCTGACACTGACAAAGGATCTACAATCTGAGGTACAGGATCTCAGGATAAATCCTGAGGGGATTTCA